CTGTTACTAATCCTGTGGGGCTTGCTATTGTTGATGCAGCTCGTGACTTCGACCATTGATGCTTATTCCTCAAAATTCTTTCCAATACTGTCTTGACCACAAAGCTCCATTGGCTGAGGCATCAATTACCAATTGTGTCACCTCGTTTAGCCCATTATAATAAGTCTCAATCTGAATGCAGCAGTGTATTCCATGATGGGGCATTTTTGTAACAACCCTTTAAATCTTTTACAAATATCACTTAAGGATTCGCCTGAAAACTGTTGAAAGTTGTTAATCTTGTTCCTAAGTTTAGCATTCTTCAAAGGTGGGAAATACTGCTTAAAAAATTGTTTTGCTAAGTCGTTCCATGAAGCGTACTAGTTTCTTCTTTACTAACTCCAGCTTCCTTTAATGAATCACCTACTTTCATCAAATATCTTAAGTGTCTGTGCGAGTCTTCTAATGCTAGTCCATAAAATGGTCCCACTGTTTGCAACATTTGAAACATTACAGGCTTCAGCTCAAATCTCCCTGCTTCGATGATTGGATTAGCAATGACAGGGTTGAAGTCATAGAACGCTGGAGCTGCATATGCTCTAATTTCCTGCTTTGTGTCATCAGCAAGTAGAACAACATTCAAGGAGGTACTCTATTGACTGCTCTTTCCCCTGGTATTCATACTACTTCGTTCTCAACTGGGTTTTGCTCGTTGCGATACATTTCGACCTCCTCTCTTCGCACCCGCTGTTCAGTCAGTCTTCTTCGAAAAGTTCTTTTCGATTATGGGTCAAAAGCGAATTCGAATGTAGGAAAATCTTTCATTCACAGCTCCCACACTCCTAAAAAATAGTAGCAAGGTCTTTAAGCACCGTACCTCAAAGTAACTAACCACAATCTACAGTTTTCCAAAATTCCCCAGCAACGGCGCCAAAAACTTATTGTATTTTCTAACAATGGATGAATTATAGTGCAAGTATACACTAATTTTGTCAATTGTAGTACAAACAAGGTCGTCTCCACAGGGAATTCATGCATACAGAAACTGGTTAATTGCTTCGAGCTACCAAAAAAATAATAAAAGACAATGAAGTTTGCTTATCAATGTTTCTAGTAACTTGTAAAAATAACATGTAACTAAAATAGTGAATAAGAGCACTAATAAACTTTTCATGAGGCTTCCACCGAAGGATTGAACACAGGAAGATTTAAATCGATTTTTAGGGATTCGGGGAAGGGAAATCCACCTACTGATTTTAAACATCACCTACTGAAGAAAAACACATGAAACTTTTAAAGCCCAGACCCTCACGGCTCTCTACCGAGTTACCTAGCAAATGTCTAACCCAACTCCCGTTGTGGTTACAACAAGCATGAAACGAATCTACCGGCGCCGCAGAGTGAGCCCCATTCCTAGTTACTCACTACTTTATTTCAGAAAGAACATAGAAACTACGACTAACAGTAGGGAATCCAGGCACAGGAGCTTTCCCAAGCTTTCTATGATCTTGCACACTAAACCTGTTAGCCAAACATGTCTAGAACGATGAAAAAAATGAAACTTACTATTATTAAATAAGAGTTCAAATGCACTCAACAGTAGCTCAACGTCTATTACATCAAGTTTCAACCCCTCCCCAAAGGAAGGGGGATTAGTTCATGATGAAATAGAAATAAGAAAATGAAAGGATGGAAGACAAATCCATTTCAGAAGGCATAGAAAGAAAAACCTAGAAGCTTCCTCCGATGAATAGTGAAGATCTCGAGCCAAATCAGTGTCTCTCTCCCTTCCATCGTCAATCCCCATGCCTTTTAGAGAATGTTTCCCTGAAATCGATGTGTCCCAGTTAGGTTCACTCTCCCTCCCATGCGGCTGAGGTCGCTTTTTATATAAGTACCGGGCCTTTAGCTTAGGGCACCAAAGAACCTCACGTGGATGATGTTTAGACAATGTACAGACACTGTACGAACACGGTAACAATGTGGGTGAAATCAAATTACTGCTCCAGCTTTTGCTCTATAGTTTCCAAAGCGCTAGCCCGCTTCCGACTTCAACCAGCTGCCCTAAGCCTTTAGCAGCACCAATCTATTCCACTAATGATTCACCTACTCCGAGTGCACCATACTTTTCTTTCTGCACTAAACATCCAAAATTTACCATTCACTAAAATAATTTACTGAATCTACAAGAATCAATGCATTGAAGGTTCCCTCTGGAAATTCTCACATTCTTGTGGCTTAATTAGCTTGTATTTCACATTCTTGGCACACAATTACCTTTAGTTTGGCCTATAATTGACTCTCTATTTGATAGTTATCAGTTGTTATGAAAGGAGATTGGAGGAGTGTCAGGGCCCCGGGTGTAAAAGGTTGTAGGCTGATACGTCACTACTGGGTGTCGAGGCTCCGAGTATAAAGGTCAAGGGTCGATACGCCAGTCTTGGAAAATTTAATTATCGATGCTTAAGGTAAATCGTCGGGGGTCAATACGCCAACTTTGAACAAAGATGAGTGTCGAGGCCTTAGCTTTGTGTGGTTACGGGTCAACGCAGTGAGTCTTAGTGGAAAGCCAATATTGCAGCCTTTAAAGGAAAGGGCAGGGACCAATATGTTGCAAAGTTATCGATGCTTTAGCTATGTGTGGTTAAGGGTCAGTGCAAAGGTTCGGGACTTTGGGTAAATGGTCAAGGATCGAATGCTAAGCGATGTAGAGAAGTGTCGAGTGAAGGGACATTAATCCCGCAACGAAAACAACGATCTTATTCTTGAATTTTAAGGAGCAAAAATCACACATAGAAAATGAAAATACAGGGAGAAAGAAGCTTACATTTGAAGACCTTATTCAAATAACTCCAGTAAATCTATTAACTACCACCGATCTTCCCACTATCCTCTGCGAAGAACTTGCTTGTGGGAGCAAAAAATAGATGCTAAGACTCTTGGGATAGGTTCTTGTTGAGAGAGAATTCTTAGATGGGAGAAATATAGGGGGAGAAAAACCATAGTGTTATTTGGATAAGGTACCCAGCCTTATCCATATACTATAGGTCCTTTAGGTTATTCCCGGGACATTATCTACTTATATATCCAGGATATATCAAAATATACTCAGTATATATACTGTCCTGGTTACATGATACTAACCTTGGATGTTTAGTGTTGGGTTTTATGTCCTAAAACTCATAGTTTGAGAATGACAGATATACTTTTATCATTCAATAAAGTTGTTATTGAAGGTTTTAATCAATAAGTAGTTATTGATCCAATAAAATGTTCTTACTATATCTAAATCCGATAAAATAAAGGATCCTAGACTGTTACCTGAGACTCAAACTCTATGTAAGAGACATAAATATGGATCAAGTTTGAGTTAACAGTCTAAATGGTCTATAGTATAGGAATAAGGTTGGGCGCCTTATTCYGGGGACACTATGGATGCGGCCCACTTTGTAGCTAGTACAAACGATGTRATCCTAATTCGTTCATGTGAAGACATGCGAGTGGGGKTGTCCCGTGCAAAGAGTTTGCATAAGACCGGACCATGAGATAGTCACTTKTACTTTATAACACCKYTTACTGTTTSAAACTGGCTATCTCAACTTTGATGKCCTAGGTAACTCGATCTTAATCCTGAGCTAACTATGAACTTCTGTTTACTCGGGATTATCCTTAGATCTGCATGGGTGAGAGCAGCTCAACAGCGCTGGCTCAATAAGCCTCCCATTTCAGGGGTAAGACCCGGTAGATAGCTAGGGACATAGGGTGCAAGAAGGAATTCACTTCTACCCAATTTTGGGATAGTAGAGAGGTTGTTCTCTTAAGGGCTGAATCCAGGTCTTGAACAATTGGCGCCACCCTCATCAAAAGGTTTGAGAGGATTTTTTGATTTGATAGTTTGACTACAAATCATTGTTCATTAGAGGATTAGTGGGAGTTAAGGAACAAGAGGTAATTACAGGGGTAAAGCGGTATTTTGACCCAGCTGTAATTACGAACAACCTGTGAAGGGTCGACTTACCGATCATGGTTATATCAAATGGACATAATATATCTACAGTGAGGAGAGTGTAGCTACGGGCTTTAGTGGAGTGACCACGTAGTTAACGATTGTTGGTTAACTAGGTTAAAGAGTTTAACCGGTTAATCTCGGATTGTTGGAGCTCATGATTTGTAGGTCCATAAGGTCTCCTGGCTAGCTCATATAGGAATAAACTTAGAATAATTTGAAGGAATAATTCAAATCATACGAATTAGGTTAATCATATGAAATATGATTAAGTAATTGATATATGATATCAATTTGAGAAATTTGGACAAAATATTTAAATAGGATTTAAATATTAAAATTATGAATGCGGATTCATAATCAGAGGCATGGATTTCATCAAACATCGGATTTTGGAAAAAGTCAAATAGTTGACTTTGACCAGAGAAAGTCAAAGGTTGACTAAAGTAGATTAAAATAATGTTTTTAACCAAGTTGGTGGAAAATTCCACTAACTTGTTGAGTAGAACGTTTAAATAATCTCAAAAATCCACTTTTTGACACTTAGCCATGCATGCATAAGTGGAATGTGTGTTGTAAGTTTTTTGTCAACTTAAACATGCATTTTGACACTTAGCCATGCCATGCATGAGTGAAATGTGTGTTGTATGCTTTTGGTGAACTTAGACATGCATTTTGACACTTAGCCATGCCATGCATGAGTGGAATGTGTGTTGTAAGCTTTTGGTGAACTTAGACATGCATTTTGACACTTAGTCATGCCATGCATGAGTGGAATATGTGTTGTAAGCTTTTGGTGAACTTTGACATGCAAGAGTTGCATGTAATTTACCTATTTAAGAAGGCTTTTGTTCAAACATCAAAATCTCTTGGAACCTTTGGCCATTTGATGTGTTTTCAAAAAGCTTACATAACTCCTTTTAGCTCCACTTTTCTCTAATTTTTTCCTTCTCTAAACAGAGTCCCACCACTCTATTCCAAGCCTTGAGAATAGCTAGGAAGATCTCTTGGTGGTCCTTCATTGGAGCTATTTGAAGATTTTTGAAAAGCTACAAAGGTTTGTATTTTTCTCTACTTATCTCTAAGCATCATAATGTATGATCATGCATGTTTAATCCTAGGTTGTATTATGCATCTAGATTGTTATTTCGATTCTTGCTCACTTCCGCTGCGCATGTATGTATTTTTTCCATCATTTAGTTTATTGGATTTGGACAATACAGTGCTATAAGTTTAACAACAAATTGATTGAATATGAAACCATAACTTTATTGAACATAAATTTATTTTTACATAAATACAAACTACGACTTTAGGGCAACACACCCAACATCGAGGCATTGGCTATGCGTGGTCAAGGGTCGGTACAACTCGGAGGAGTAAGTTGTGGAGTAGGAAAGAGTTTGTTTTAGAGATATGAGATAGTTGAAATGAGTTTGGAATGGGCTAGAGAGAGATAGATACTAGCGGGCTAGAAGATGAGGTTACTTGGGTATGGTACCTTGAATGCATGGCGTTGTGTTGTTTACTTGTTATGATATGTAAAACATGTTGTTGATTTATCTTATTTTGTTGAATATTGCGTCTTTGAGCATGTTGATTGTGTGTAATTAAAGAGGGCTACTTACGGAGTATTTTATATACTCACCCCGATTATACAATTATTGTTTTCAGGTGAATATTAGAGCTATGATCATGGTGATGACGTGGAGGACGCATGACTGAGGAAGGACCATTAGGTTGCACACTCTTTGTTGTTGGTGTTAGGATAGCTTGATTTTTTTTTTTATACTTGGATATTTGGATGTCTTAGAAAGTTGTTATTTAGGGGCTGTCTAGTTAGGGTTGTTTTAGATGTGTATGATCATCTTTTTTTAATCGTTGTTTTTACTTATTTAGACTGGTTATAGAATTGTTGGTTTAGTAGAAGTTTTATGTTTCGTTAGCCCACAAAGGGTGAGAGAATTCGTTTTCGAAATTTAATAAAATATGAACTACCAGGTTTTATGTTAGTTGTTTTATGCTTTTGAGAGAGAGTTGAATAGGTAGTTTGTTAACGTTTCCTCGGAAGTATTGTTGGAATTCGGGGGCGTTACATACCCGATTTTAGTAATCATCACATATCACATCTCTACTCATTATGATCTTAAGGCTATCTATATCTAGACTTCACAATTTATTTCCCTTTACACCATTTGGATATCCTAAGAAAACACATTTCTTAGTCACAGGTTCTAATTTTCCCTTATTTGCATGAGCTTAAGCTAAACACCCAAAGACTTGAATGTGTGTAAGATTTGGGGGTCTACCTTGCCAAAGTTCTTGAGGTGTTTTAAGATCTATGTTGGTGGCAGGGGCTCCTATTAAATATATAGCATGCAGTCACTACAAATTCACCCCCAAAACCCTAGGGAAACTGTACATTGGACAACGTAGACCTCACTTTTTCCACTAAAGTTCGGTTCATTTCTCAACTACCCCATTATATTGGAGAGGTTCCTACAATGGTCTAGTATCTAGCTATGCTCGTAGACTTGCAATAATTATTAAAATTCTGATTACAAAACTCTAGGCTATATCTGTTCTTTCTTAACTTCAAAGCTAGTTTGAGTTTTTACAAAATTTATCCATTCAACAAATTTATTAAGAGTGTCAGGTTTATGTTTCAAAATATAAACCCACACTTTCTTAGTACAATCATCTATAATGGATAAAAAATACTTAACCCCACCATTGGTAGCTACACTAAATGACCCCATTAGTGACATACTCTAACTTTCTCTTTGTTACATGCATTCCTTTCCCAAATTTCACTCTTTTGGACTTAACATATATGCAATTCTCACAAATGTCCAAGTGTACATTTTTATCAATAGGGAGAAGATTTTGTTTGGTTAACTCACTTAACTCTTGTTCACTCATGCGACCTAGATGCTTATGTTACGAAGTAATTTAAGAACTATCAGTTCTTTAACTAAGGCACTTGACCTCAAATGATTGAACCATCTACTCACTACTATAATCCTCATCATGACTTTAACTATACCACTCTCAAACTGTATGATATATCATAGTTTTATCAAGCGTACTAGTTGAAATTAGATTTTGCTTAACGTCAGGAACATACCTACATCAGTTAAAAGTCTACTTTTCCTATCATGAAGTTTAAGCATAATTGTGGCCTGACCTTCTACATTTGAGAAATGGAAATTTCCTAACATAACTTTACCCCCATATCAGGATGAGAGTTCTCTAACCAATCCCTATTGGGTGTCATATGGAAAGAATAGATTAAATCTAGACTTTAGGTATCATCCTCACTACACTCACTCACCATAAGGACATGGTCATACTCTTCACTAAGATTCGACCCCATCATTATCTTCTTTCTCCTTATCCTTTTGGTTCTGGTTATCACCCCATTCTTCCTAATGTTAGTACAAAACCTTGTTATTACAATTATAACACCTTCTATTACTAGACCTCTTAGACTTCGATCTAGACTTACATCTATTTCTACTTTTTCCTTTATTATTAGAACTTGCTATCCCTCAATTCTAAATCTTTCATTTTAATAACATTTTCACAATAGCAGAGATAATCTCTATCATACTTCATCGCAGACTTCACATTATTATAACTATCAAGCAAATAATTTACCAGGATTATTGTATAACTTTCACGTGAAAAAGTTTCACCAATATTCCATTTCAAAAACTATTTTATTAAACTCATCTAGGTTATGTTTTCATGTTTTTATTAGTTTCCATTTTAAAACTAAAGATGATAGATTTTATATATATTTCATTAGAAATGGAAGCTACTTGAAATGAATCTTCTAACTTTTTCCAATGCTTACTTATTGTGTCCCCACTACGCATTTGGCACATAACATTGTCTGCCAAGTAGAGGATGATCATGTGTCACCCTATCCATTTATTTAAGATCATCCTCATCTTTGCTGACACTCATTAGAATCTTTGTTGAATCCATAAGGACGTACGTAATCGACTCTGTGTTGTCTCACCACGACCATAATTTTGATTTCTAGAGACCGAAGTCTCCTTTCTGATCAAAAGGTTCCAGATCGAACTTATTACTCATCCTACACAAGAAAACAAGGTCAGGCAATATCTTGTATGAATATCATAATAATTTTCAAAATATTAACAAGAATTTACAAAATATTAATAACACTGTAAAATTCAAAACAGTACACTTTTTAGGCAATGAAGAATGCAGATTACAGAATGAGTAGCATACCAATCTTTGATACCAATTGTTACGAATTTATACAAATTGCAAAACCATTTATCCTCTTTAAACAACTTCTTTGAAGCCTAAATAAGAATTTACATACACTAAATATAAGGTGATTATGCACAGAAAAGTCCCAGTAAATTTTCAGCACTTAACAAGAATGAAATAGAGAGAATCAACACAAGGATTATAGTGGTTCAGTCCGAAAGGACCTACATCCACTTGCGAAGATTAACACTCTACAAATCTATATTATTATCAAAACAAATCATGATATACAATAGGTATACAACATAAATGGAATCAAAGAAAACAGAAACTACAACACAATAATATGAGAACCAATATTTGATTCAAGAATGCTTCAACTTAAATTATTGGAGGAATTTGAAGGATCAAACTCAAATACGATGTAAATCTATCCGAGAACACTGAAGAACCAAAAAGATAGAGAAATACTGTAACGCCCCAAAATTTTACAACACTCATTGGGTAACGTTGTTAAACTCCCAATTCAGCCTTCTTCCTAGTAAAGAAATGTAACGCAACAAATACAAGAATTAAATTGTAACAACCAGTATTTTCTAATACGGTCATTCTGACAAAATGCGGAAACGTAACTTTCAAGAAACCTTAAGAACTAAAATTATTCAGCGGAAGCAATTTCTTTACAGAATTTTTCTAAACTAACTTAACTAAACAGGAAGACGACTTTCAAACTCATGCCAGTACGCTAAACTTCACCTTCTACCAGAATGATCATTCAATCTTTCATCTGAAAAACATTTAGGAATACAAAGATGAGTACAAAAATACTGAATAAGCAATTTCCATATCGAATTTCAAAACTCATTTTCCTTTCAAAACATTCGTAAACAAAAATACGAACATATCAAACTTTTAAAGTCCTTTAAAATATTTAATACAATTTTCAAAACTTTCAAAACAACTAGATTTTCATAAACAAAAGTCTTCAAATAAGATAAAATTTCCGGTCAATCAAAACAAGCTTTCATTCTTTCAAAACAAACTTGCATTTATTCAAAACGAACTTTTAATTATTCAAAACAATCTTCCATTTATTCGAACCAAACTTTCTTTCGATCAAACTTCAAATCCTTCAAAACAAACTTTCTTTCAATCGAAACTTTCAAAATTCCTTCTAAAACATTTGGTACAACTTTCAAACATTTGAATAACTAAATCGTTAAAACATTCAAAACAATCTTACATTCATTCATACTTTCAAAATCAGAGTGGAAGCTTGCATTATTTGGATAGTCAACAGAACATATGTGGTTACCTGTCCGTAACACCATCAATCAGAAGCTTCTATCAGAGTTGTCGAATTAATATCGACCAGAATAGAGTTGTCGAAATAATATCGATAGAACAGAGTTATCGAAATAATATCGACTAGAACAAAGTTACTTAAGTGTGAGGTCATGTGAGTGAATAACACACACATGAATCTTCATTCCCAAGGAATGCCAGACCATAAAAGTGCTTTCCCACAAATAAGCCACAACATAAATCCATCAATTTCAAATTAGGTTACTACCCCAAATAAGCAAAACGTTCCTCAAAACAAAATCATGGCATATCCGGATAGCTCTATCAAATCAATCAAAATATCAGTTTCAAACCTTTAATAAATAAATCTAAACAAAACTTTATCAAATCATTTAAGAATACTTCAAATACTTTGCAAATAAACATAATTTCAATTGCCAAATTAGTTTTCAAATCCATAATAAAACTTGAATTTCATATGCAAGATATCAATTTCAAATCGTCGTATCAAATCCAAAATACATTTTAGTTTTTGAAATATGACAAATCACTTACAACACTTTTCGAAAGGATATGGTAAATTACTTACAACACTTTTCGAAGGGATACGGTAAATCACTTACAATACTTTTTCGAAGGGATATGACAAATTACTTACCTCTTTCAGAAATCCTACGAATCTAATTTACTTCTTCCTTGGTAGTTGTCAACTTAGAGGCCCAGAAATAACTAATATCCAAAATCAATTCTTAAATCCTATCCAAGGATTTAAAATTCAACCAATTACTAACCCAAATCTTATCTACCCAATTTTCCAATTCAAAACACTTTTTTATGCAAAATAATTAGGAAAGTATGGATTTGGGGCTACAAAACCAGATCTGAAAACTAGGCTAAAAAGCCTCTAAATTCAACAATAACAAACTTTAAAATCACAAGAATCGATATAAATCAATACGAACTAAATTTACAAAAAGTTTCTCAATAAAATCAACTTAAAAACCTTCTAAACAATTGAAAATTTGGAGATTTTAAATCTGAAAAATTCTCTGTTTTATAAAATAAAACTTCCAAGAAATTTCCATAAAACAATTAACAATTTACTAATTTTTATAGGAAAAATCAGATCTAAAAATCGTATCGAAAACCTTTAAAACTTCATAAAAACATATAATTTTTCATGTAAAAATCATAACAACAAACTATAATTTATAGGATACAAATAGGTAAACTTTTTATGCAAAAAGAGCCTCAAAATAGCCTAAAAACAATCTCATAAACAAAAAGATTCAAACCAAAAATTATGGAAAATTTTTAGGGCAAAAGTCCTAAAAATCTTTTATTCTAAAAAACAAAGACCTCAAAACTTTTCCTAATAAACTAAATTAAAGAATTACAAATCAAGAAAAATAATGTAACGCCCCGCGTTCTCTGACTCGTTTATTTTAAGAGATAAATAGTGTCTTTG